GCGCGTTAGCTTATTGGTATTGTTGGAAAGTAGGCGTGGCAGCTTTGAGAGGGTTGCTGGTTGCTGCCAGTGCGGCAAGCAATAAATTGAAACGAGTTTTCGGCCATTTGGGCCCTCAACATCAATTAAATGCATTAATGTGGAAAATTAAATTATGCATCAGCTTGCGTCCATGTGTAAATATTGTAAAATAATGCGGAAAACTAATTATAGTCGCAAATTTAGCAACTATCTGAGTTGTGCCATGTGGCAAATTGCAATTTAAGTTCAACAACCTTTCCTACATATGTCGAATTATTTAAAATTTCTAAAGAATTGTTTACACGAAGTAAAACCAATTTAATTTAAGCCTTTTTTTTGGCTTCTAATTTTTTAATTTTCTATACATTTTAAAGTGAAGAAATGCAGTTCATTTTTTGCGCAATGGCAAATAAGAAAACAAAGCGAAAAGCCAGCAAAAAGGCAAGCAGAGAAAAGCACAAACAGGCGACCGCACCTCGTTAAAATTTTATATCAATTGCTGTATGCATACAAAACATGCAGCAACAACAACAACGACAAAGAATAGCAGAAGGTAAAAAAAACACCAACAAAAGCGGGCCATTTTGAAAAAGTTTAAACAGAACAAGAAATAAAAGCTAAAAAAAACAAAAACAGAGAAAAAAATGAAAGAATTAAAATTACGGACGCAGCCAAAACCAGAGAAGCAAAGAAAATATAAACAAAAGTGAGAAGTGAACAGAAATAAAGCGGAAAGCAACCTCCCGGCGAAAAAGTTGCTCATGTGTGCGTGGAAGGCGAATTTATACAAATATTACATATACGCAGCGCTTATTACGTGTACGCAAACTAATTTTTACCGAGCTCCCGTGTCGTTGTCGTCGTCGTGAGCGTGCGACAAATGAAATATTTAAATATGTCGGGCACACAAACATTTTGACAACACGCCGACAAAATGCCACAAAAAGTTGCAAATTGCGGTTATTGTGGCAAACACACAATAAATAATTTTATGCCCCAAATGAAAAAAAATTATATAAAACTCGATGACTTGCAGCAAAAAGTGGCATGCGTTAAAGTTTTCCACCAAAATAAAAAAAAAAAACTAAAATAACGTAGTCATCATGATGATGATGATGATGCTGACGATGGTGATAATGACGCGTGGCCGAGGAGGCGTACAACTTTTTTGCATTTGAAGCGGAAGTGATTTCATCAAAAATTCATATTAACTAATTGGATTTGATGCCGTTGCACAGTTATATCATATTTTCAAGGAGGATATTGCCAGCAACTGGACACACATATACACTCACACGGCAGGCCGACCCCTAACTTAATAACGATGTTTATTTTAAATTAAAAATGTATTTATATACGCTCAAATGCCAAATGAACGTATGCCACACTGAAGGCCAGCAACTTGTGTTTGTATTCCTATTTGTATTTGCATTCGTATTTGTATTTGTATTTGTATTTGTGTGCCACAAGTTGCCAAGTTTCACATTTCCCTGCAGCGCTCACCTGAAAAAGTATGAGAAAAAGAGCACAATTTATTACCTTTTGTAACAATGTATAAAAAGCAATTGTATTATGAGTCCATCCACTCCACTCCTCTCTTTCTATATAGAGCATGCCCTAACACAATTTACTGTTTATGAGAGTTATGGGAAATGCTTATGGAAATACAACTCAGTAGCTTAATTAATTGGCAAAACTTACATACATATTCTCGACTTACATATTATTGGAAATAAATATATATGGTATATATATAGTATATATATATATATATATATATATATATATATATATATATATATATATATATATATATATATATATATATATGTAGACATAAATATTTATTAATTACTTGACAAATTGGCAGAATCCTAACTTCCACTATTTTACTTGGTTTCCGATATTTTTTGTAATAAAATACATCGGTTACATGACATTTTTGCATATTGTTCCAATTTTCAAAATAAATTATACCCATCAGCATAGAGACCTCGTTGAGAGCTCCAGATATTCTGAATATGATCAGCAACAAGCACATCTCTTAAGCTCAAAACTTGAGCAAAATATAGATATATTATTCTACTCCTGAATTAATAAATGCTGAAAATAATAGTCATTATTATGCATATATTAAAAAGACAGCTCAATAGTCATAAGGAAGATAATTAAAAATAAATTACAACAAATTTGTATTTCTTTGTTGCTCAATTTTTTCCTTTGCAGACATGATTTACAAGCGGAAGCAACATTTTTATTAATTGATGACTGCGGAAAATGAAATAAGCAACTTTAAAACACGCGAGAGTGCGTCATATACAGAGAAGGCAGTACTTAAAGCACACGCCTGTCTGTGTGTGTGTGAGCGTGTAGGTAAGAGTATCCAGAATGTGGAGCCTGAGCAATGCCTTGTAAATGAACGCGAAGAAAAATCATCCAACTTCACAGCTGTTGTCGAGAGCTCGCAACATTCGCGTCCTGGCTCAGTGCCCGCCAGACGGAAAGACGCAGCAGGCACAAAAAATTGTAACGAAAAGAAGAAGAGTATTGCAAAATATTAAAAATGTTGCTGCCAAAGGCAGCAAAAATGGACGCAGAAAACGCGGCCAAACGACGGCGGCAAGCGAAATAAAACGAAGTGTCGGCAGCGTCTGACTCTGGCGCTGGCTCTGGCAAAGGAGCCGCCCAGGATGTGCCACTACTGCAGTAGACTGGCACGAAGCACTGCTACAAAATAGCATAGAAAATTAATAATCGCGCAATTTTTGCGCCAGTAAACAATGGAAAAGTCTTGGCTCGTTAGTTTCCTCATTATTCTGCATTTTCCAAGACGCGCTCCCGCAGTGAAATGTGCTGCGAAACTAAAAAAAAGTATTAGAGGATAGACTAGGGCAACTGTCAAGCAGAATGAGCCGAAAGCACATCAGAAAACGAGAACAGAAACCTACGCAAATAATGAAAAATGCGATTGAATGTCATTTTTCATGAAATTTGTTAGCCCTTTGTCTGCCGCGCCATTGTTCCGAGTCCTGGACAACTCTACAAATGATATACAATGCTTAAAAGGAAAACTTGAAACTCGACCGCTTACAAGTAGAGTATTGAGATATATATGACAACTGTTTAAGATTAAGAGATCTACTGTACATTTTTCACATTATTTTAATCAACTAAACTCTAACTAATAGAAAAGATATAAAGATACCTTGATAATAAAAAATTTAGCTGCAAATTTACTATCAATAGAAAAATGTCTTTAAGTGTTCCATGTGCATGAAAAGATTCTCTTATTAAAGAATATATTTCAAATATAAGCAGGTCAAAGCACTGTCTGTGACAGCCCTGGCATGGGTGTATATGACAAAATAGCAAACCCTAGTTATGCGAGAACAATTAATTGAATCAAGGACGCAATTGTTTTAACCAATAAAGTGAAGCGTTGCGGTTGACACAGACTCGACTGTGAAAGTGAAAAAAACACTAAATAAAATAAAAATACAAACACAAAAAGTGCAGCCATGCATATGACACACTCGCAGCCGCAATTCCCATGTTGTTGGCCAACAGTTAACGAACAGTTGGGCTCCAAAAGTGGACGACAGACTGTGTCAAACAAAAACTGAATCAAATTATGTGCGATAAAAGGACAGCTGAGCTGTGCGTGTGTGCGATTGTGTATGATTGTGTGTGTGTGCGACAACTACATTATTAATGCACAATGAACTTGAAGTAAAGTCGAGCAACGGACGCGACAAACCAGAAAACATGGCCAATTGAAAAATGTGCGAGCGTAAATTACATTAGCCTGGCCCACAGCCAAAAAGCCAACAATATAAAATTCATAACATTAAAGTTAAATGACCAAAAAGTAAAAAGATCCTCTTTCACTTGTCATTTTATTTAGCATACAAAACATTTTGTTTTTAGTTTAGTTTGTGGACTACAAAGTTTCCTATTCAATGGAAACTTCACCTTTGAAGTTGTGTTAAAAATTCCTAATGATTTTTTCATGGCTGTTAAATAAAAAATTGGGGGAAAAAGTTGAGCAGTTTAGCTGTCTAGAAGCACCTGTTCGCCCGCTTCCTTTGTGAGTCGTATGGTAATGAGCTCGGGGCTCTTAGTTAACGTGTGCGAGGGGCTGAGCGTGGCACACGAAGTGCGTTGCTTGCGTGCATTAAAATAATCAAATTTTGTCATTGAACTAGGCTCCGACAGATGCAAACGAAAGTTAAGCGTTGTTAATGGGAAGAGCTAAGCCAGATCGATTAGAATATGCTTATTGAGTGAACTAGTTCGAAGAGTCCAGCTCTAGCTCCAGCTAACATATTTTGATCATTGAATTATATCAATGAGAAGTGAGAACTAGGAAAATAGATTTTATTCAGATAAGCTTATAATAATAATTTAATAAATTGTTATATAATATAATATAATGATGATATATTTTAATATTTATTCACATTTAATTAAAGGTATTTGTATGTATCAATATATATGCGTTATCTTTTACCTTTTGATCTACTTATTTTTTTATCTACATATTAGCATGATAAATGGATGTATATATATGAATAAAAAAAGACAATAACAATTTTTTAAACAAATAAGCATATAATTCAAATAAAAACGATGTTGAGTAAATATCTCCCGTGCTAAACTGTAATTCAAATTATTAAAAAGCCCCAAAGAATGAGACAAGTCTTAGCAGTCCCTAAAGCTTAAAATCAATTAGTTAATCTAGCTTAGCGTTTGTCTTAAACTAATGTTTCTATAGTTTTTTTTGAGTATTTCATTATTATGATTGTCTTTAGCTATTCAATTATTGAATTGCTATACAGACAGAAAAAATGTGTCTGCTTTATTTACATGTCACGTTCTGCTAAGCTGAATATTTAACGTGTGCTTGTTTCACATATATATATTTATATATATAGCTCATACGCCTAGTAATCCGAGCTGTCGCTTCTGCTGCTGCTCACCTTTTATTTTATTCAATAAATACGCTGCGTGTGGAGTAGCACACAGGGATATCCAAAGCACGTGACAGATTTTCTTGGATTACACACGCTGACACACGCACGAATACGCATATTCACACACACGCAAGCTGATTACGACATTGTTGTTGCTGTTGCTGTTGTTATTTTTGAAATTCACTTTGGGCGGCAAAAATTTGAGGCTGTCAAACAGACGCCTGAGGCAATACCCGTTGCCTGTCAACTCGTCAAACTATCAGCCCTTTAGGCGTCACTCCAGTGTGTATTCATATGGCACTTAATACATTGGGCGATGACTCGGCGAACGGCATTCACTCGGCTCGTTCGATTAGCGGCAGATGCAGCATCTTAATCACCGATCAAATTGAGCATACGCCGCGTCAACTCAGCGACGGCAAACACCGAAAACAACGACGTCAACGACAGCGGCAATTTCGAGTCAATAAAACAGGACGCACACGCGGCAGCTGCGAACACAACTGAAGTCAACGACGACGGCATGCGAAGTGGCGACATGTCGATAACGAGCCACAGCCACAGCCGTGGCCGTAGCCGCAGCCGAAGTGGCTGCCGAGGCACGAGTCGAGTTTAGCAAGAGCACGATTTATGGCAAAATGTGTTGCATACTTTTAAGAGCGCGCTCGCATTTTGGGTGTGTTTTTTAAGTTTTTGGGACGCGGCGCATGCGTTGTGGCAGCTACAACAGCGACACACCAACAGGCTGCCTAAGAGAAAAAGGCAAGAGAGCAAGAGACAAAGAGAAAGGGAGAGAGTGTGTGTGGTATGCTTCCAATGCCACAGTTAGCTGCTGCTCATTTGCATGCCACGGTCCCAAAACAAAAAGTGTTTGTCCCAAGCCAAACAGCTGTTGAGCTACTGAAATGAAGCCAATGGAGCAATGGGGCTAAACGTTAATACACGCCAGTCAGCCACGTCCTCGTCCTTGTCATCGTACTCGTGACGCACTCGTTGTGGCATGTCTTAGGTCAGAAATGTCGTCGTGGATGCCACTGCCACTGCCACAGCGACTACGGCTGCGACTGCGACTGTGACTGCGACTGAGGCTGCGGCAATCGCTGTTTGCCGGCAAAAGGCAGCATTTTTAATTATGATAAATGCCCATTCATAAAACGGAATGGCATTGCAGTTGCGTGTCACGGCTGTTCCTGCCTCTTCTTCTGCTTCGTCTTCTATACATGAAAATATATTTACAGAATGGGACTCTGATATAATATATACTGCATAATTATTTGTTTTATCTATGTCTGGCAGAACGTTCTCGCTGGCTTCTTGTATGTCTAAAGCTCTGTTTCTATTTGGGCTGCTGTGCACTTGACAGGCAAGATTTATGTGGCCTGCAGCCCGTGTCGTCTGGTGTGCTAGTGTACCAGCGCTGGTTCCTCCACCTGTACCAGTGCCAGGTGTTAATGTGCCAGCTGTGCTTCAATCACCATCAGCGTTACTTAATAAAATCACATACAGCACGACGTGTGATGAATTGTTGCCAGTTTTGCAACTGACGTCGACGCTTTTAAGTGCAAAGGCATTTAACAAGCGCTCGACAGCAATTAAAACCCATCCAAGCCAATTGACAGGGAATGAAATAAAATAAACAAATAAACAAACACACAAATCATTCTTAATTGTCCAATTTAATAATTAAGTGGCCAATTAAGTGCTAATTATCTGTCTTTAATTGGCTTAAGATTTCAGCCATGCTGTGTGCCGTCAGTCCTTTTAGTTACATGATTAAGGGCTGACTTTTCAGATAGTTACAAAGTAAGATCTTTAGAAAATAAATGTTTCTTTAAAATAATATTTAAGTGTTAATTGTGAGATTACGTTTCTAATTCAGGAATAAATTATTATTATAAATATAATTATTTAAATATTAATTGGGAGCTTTATCGTTCTCAAGAAATCAAGAAATTAATTAGTTTTCCAAAATTCAAAATATTTATTAGAACTATCTAAATACAACCAGTAAATATATATAGATTCCTTATTAAATTACGTGTAATCTACCTCTTTTTTCAATAACTCGTTACAATGCCCCCGAGCCCAGCAATCATTCCTTTGTTTTATTCAATGCAATTGTCCCGAAAGGAAGCCGAAGCAGTGGTAAAACCTGGCTCAATGCAATGTTCAACCAGTCGAAACCAAATTGACCAAAGTTAATTTAACCAATGTAAACTGGACAAAGGCGCAAGCAAAAGAGGGCAACTCGAGGCAACTTGAGTCGAGGTAGAAATTTTAGGTTGTAAATGCGGGCAAATGCCTTAGTGAAAATCAATTGGCACGCCAACAAACGCTTCAATCAATTTTACTTTGGCAAACAGTGAGTGCAAAATAAATCACATCAGTCGAGACCGACTTGCAAGATGCTTCTGCTGGGCGACGCAAGGGAAGCGAGATGCAATGGCTGAATGTGTGAGTGTGTGTGTGTGTTGTGCATATTTGTGTTTATCTTATTTATGCAAAGCTGTGGCAAGCAGCAGCAGCAACACCAGCAAGAACAACAATTTCTGAGAAAAGAAAGAGAGAGAATGCCAAGTGGCTTGGTAGCCGCCGTCGCTCGAGGCTCCTGCTAAAAAATGAATGAATTCAATGAAATGCGGGTAAAGGTGCCCGTTTGCACCCAACTCAAGCCGTGGTTCACAGCGGTCGACGCCAGGATGTGTGCCGCATCCTTAAAGCAGTCCCAGGCAATGCCACATCAAACATCTCAAACGAAATGAATAATTTATAGACGCATTTGCGGAGTGCGGCTCCAGGAGGAAAAGAATAAGATGGGCACGAATGCTAGGTATGGTAAGGGTAGGGTACATGTCGCCTAAGCCGACTGCAGCCACTAGCTCTAAATTGAATGACAAAAATGCCTTCTAAGCCACGCATACACACATGCACACATGCACAGCATATGCAGGCATGCATGAACGAGTCAGCGCCCAACTGGCTTTAGACCCAGCGAGTGTGTGCAGTTGCGTGTGCATGTGCGTCTGTGTCCATGTGTGTGTGCTTGTATATGTAATGGCAAAATAAAATACCAAAATGCATGGACTCTTCAGTATTTATTTATATTTTTTTATCAGAATTCCGCCCCTCCGGCCCCACTCCACTGATGCCGGGTTGTTCAGGTACAAGGTATGTACAATATAGTTAATTCGAGCAATACAGAAGCGCATGCATATACATATACATATATACATACATCCGAGATGCACAAATACTATAAATTTATTCGAATTCACTGACTCACTGCGTTCATAATGGATGCTTCTGCTTTTTTTCAGCTTTTTTTACTGACTAAAAAGAACAGAGTCTAGACATTTTAATGCACATATTCATGCAAGATAAATAAACTTCCATGACCTAGACAAGAGCTAACCAAAAATTTAATTTTAGTTGGTATCAAAAACTTGGACTGAAAGAACAAACAAAGTTAATACAAAATCGAGCCACCAACATTTGCTTATCGCTTTGTTAATAACATATAAAAAGCATACGGCTTAATTTTCTAATCTCTTAACCGCCAAGCTCTCAACTTTATCTCTCTTAAAAAATAATTTTCATTCATAAAACAAAAACAGCCTAAAAAGTTGGGTCAACATACACAATGTAAGACATCAACGACATGTCAAGTTTCTCAAATGCATATCATACTAGTCAAAGATACAACGAGCTACTAACTATATAAAGAAAGCTCATGCCTTCCCAGCAAAACTTTAAATTCGCTTTTTCCATGGCATCTGCAAAGTTTGCTCAGCTTAGCCTTGACTTCTGATGGCAAACAATTTTCAAGTGTTGTCAATTAAAACGATTTTCCAATGAACATTTTGAAAGAGGATGCTTTCTTCTTTAACTAGTCGTTAAGTTGGGGCAAAAGTTATAGAGACTTATTTATTTTTGTATGGTTTTTATACGACATTAACTTGCTCCTGAAATTTCTTGTATCTGGCAAAATATTCGTAGCTCATCTTTGTGGATAATTCAAAGACTTGTTTGATTATTTTGATATCAAAAATATTTTGATACAAGAGCCACCCCCAGGCATACATACACACACTTCGTAATCTTCGTGTTAGTGGAGTTTGTGGTGTCGTCAAAGGAAAGTTTAAATAAATGACTGCAGAAAACTTTGCTAATCTGCTTTAAAAATCCCAGCAACAAGCAGCAATATGAAATATGAAATGCCAGATGAAAGTGGGATAAGCTGGCGGAAAAGCGGGGGGAAGCGGAGGAAGCGCACGGAAAATGTGACAACAGTTGACTTTGACGCGGTGGTTAAAACCCGCAAAATTCGTCAATTTAAATGGAAAAATATCAGCGCAAAGTTTGCGCCAGTGTGAAAAATATTAATTTAACTTTTTGCGTTAAGAGAGCAATGACATTTGGCCCAGACCGCCACGCAATCCACGCTTCCGTCCCTCTCAAGCATTGTTTTTGTGTCTCGATTGTTGTTGTCCTTTTCGATGGCAAATACGTGTCTATTTGGGGATGCGGGTAGGGGACAGGGGCAGGGGGCTTATGAGGTTGTTGCCAATGTTTTTGCCATCATTATCGTAAATTTTTATGCTAAATACATTTTGCTGGCCCGAAAAGCAGAAACAGAAACAGAAACACAAACCCAAAACAGCAAGAAATACAAAAAATAGCGCCATTTGGAGCAGCTGGCGTCACGTGGATGCAAATGGTCAAGCACACGCCCCTGGCTCAACGAATAACATAATCAAGGCGTGCCCCGACCAACCGCCCTGTCTTCGCTCAGCGACAAATGCAAATGAACTGTCGCTTAACGCCAGATCGTTTCTATTTTAGCCTTATGGCACATGCTTCACACCGGACACTCCCGCCGAACCCTGTTTGACAAATTGAACTATTTCGCACAGATTTCGGTTTAATGCAGCCTGTTGGCAAGGAGGTACTCGGAGCGCTGCTTAAATATAGATAAGCTCGAGGCAACGCGCCGGATACTACTCATCTCGAACAAAGTAGTCTGCTGGCCCACCCGCTGGCTTAGACTGAGCATTTTGCTGGCCAGATGGCTTTGCACATCCAAGGCCTTGCGCTTAACTTGCTTGAGCAACCTGACGGCATCTTGCTTGGGCTGTATATAGTGCAGTCTCTGCACGAGCTTCGTCAACTCCTGCTGGTCACCGGCAGCAGTCTTCCTCACGTAGCCTTGAAAATCAACCCATTCATACTTGTCATTTTGCAGATGACGATATCGCTGCCGGCACAATGCCTGCTCGTGTTCCAGATTGATCTTGAATGAGTTCAGCTCGTCCAGACGGCGCTGCAAAATCGCTCCTGCGTTCAGGTCCCGACAGAGGCTATTGCGCAGATACTGCAGCGACAAGTCGATGGCCTTGCAGCTGGCCTTCGCCTGGCTTAGCTGCTGGCGTAACTGATGATTTTCCCTCTGCAGTTCATATATATAGGGATGGAGTTCGCTTTTTTGCAGCTCCAACTGCAGGTTCACGCAGGGATCCTCCGAAGGACATTCGGGTATGTCCACCGAGATCTTTTCACCGATACGATCAACAAGGTTCTTTTTCTCTAACAACTCTGCTTCGATCTCTTTGAGTTGCATCAGCTCCTCGTTTGTCGCCGACTGGCTAACGCTTACCTCCTCCTCCTCGCCCTCCTGGGCCTCTTCCGCCTTTACTTCATCAGCTTTCTCAACACACTCGCAAAGTATGGTCTTAGCCGGCGGAGCCAGCTCAATATTCGGAGTTATCAATTTGTTTAGGGAAATATGCAGCTCCTCCGGTTCACAGAGAGGTAGTCCTGGCGCCTTGCACATGTTCACTGACTTCACGGTCTCTCCCATTTTGAATAAACTATTGATTGCAAATTTAATACAAATATTACGAACTCGAGCAATGCTAAATAAGAGACTCAAAAATATACTAACCCTTTTCCAAATGAAAACTACGTAGGTCGATTCAAGCAAACTATGCTAACATTATTTTAGAAGCTCAAAAGCGATTACTCTGACTTTGACTTTGACTCTTCTACTGGAAACTTACTACGCGGGTCTATGGTAAGATATTCACGAAGAATAAGAAGGCTTCAAAGAGTGAGAAGATTGATAATGATATTTCATATTAGGATACTTATTTGGGAACCATACGCTGATTTGCTGCTGAGTCCTACAATTTAAAGTACAGCACTTCAAATGAAATAGCGGCCTATGAAGCAGTTCGTCTCATTAATTTTGAACAGATTATGCGCAATGTATTGAAGAGATGTCTGACAGCTGGTGCTGCTGGGCCTGATGAGGCCTGTGCCCTATGCAATGTGTGTGTTCTATGCACAATGGATGGCATTTACAAAAGCGCTTAAGGAGCACTTAACCCAGACGTAACTAACCAATGCAAACACACACGAGCCAAGCACCTGAGCAGGCAGCACAATGCAGGACAGGTAGGATAGAGGGCAGCATGGAAGGGCAGCTGGTTATAGCAAACACTTGGGCATGTGTGCTAAGCGTAGCCCCATACACAGTTCCAGTTTTATTTCCAGTTCCAGATGACGACCCAGTTGCACTGGCAACAATTCATCTTCATAATGGAAGCCAATGCGAACAGCAAACAAACTTAATGCAAAGTCAAAAGGACCTAACTAAAGCGACTTGAAAAGTGCATGGGCCGGACAACAAATGCTGATGGGGGCTTATGCTAATTAATTAAATGAGTAAAAACCTAGACAGCTTAGAAATCGTTTGACCTACAGGTGTTTTGCACTTGAAGCAATCAGAACTCTGTGCCATGTAAATGGAATATAAAATAGTGTCATAAAAATGCTTCGAAACTGTACACATGGATAAACAGCAGCCTACGCATTAAAGAACATCGAAAGGAATTGAAATCGAAGGAAAATCTAATTAAAAGCTGTGATAATCGACCTACTCGCATAACCACACCAAAATCACAATTGTCAGCGTTTAATTCACGCTCACCTGCGCACACCAACACAAACACTTGCACACACCAACGCACAAACACAAATAAACACAATTTCGCTAGAGGCAATAATACGCAAACAAACAACAACTACAACACAAACAAGCTGGTGAAACAGACGTGGTCTGTCGATTCGCAGAAAAACTACCAAAAGCGAAAAACGAACAACTTTCAAAGGCAACTCAAACCCGATCCTACCTAACCTGACCTTACCTGGCCCCCTGTCCCGGCCCCTCTCTGGGCAGCAAATGAAACGCGCTGTTGCACACAAAAATAACAAGTTGCATTGGTCAATTCATCGAATGTCGGTCAGGGCTGCCTCTTGGACACCGACTCTCTATGGCTTTGACTGTAGCAGTGGCAGTGGCAACACGTGCAGTGGGGCTGCTGCCTCCGTAGCACATAGGTGCTACGGCTCTGTGCTCGGTGTAAAGTTTTAGACGCCCAGGATGCCCAGGATGGAAAGCGCAGTGTATGCGAAAAATATTCCCAGCATGTTGTCACTCTGAGTCGAAGTGTGTGTGTGTGTGCATGAGGCTGTGTTGGGTGTCGGGCTGAGTCGATTCGAATGAAATTAGTTTAGTTTCTAGTACAAGTCCCTTGCTACATTAGCCCCTTCGAAATTATATTCAATTGCCGCATTCAATATTATTTTTCGATAAAGAAATTTATGAATTACACATGAATATTTATACAGCGTCCATTGCATTGCAGTGCCCAGAAAATTGAATTTCAATTAGGAACAATTTGTACTTGTATGTTCGTCTTTATTTGCTTTGGCATCCAGTGAATTCTGCTCTACAATACAGTCAGAAATATTTATATGCCATAAAATTATGTAAAGGATAGATCCAGATTCATTTTGGAAAACTTCAAGCTTAATCTCTTCACTATCTTCACAACTAACATTTGTTCAAATGTTATGTTATTTATGTGCGATTTAATGATTAAGTAATATGGAGCTGGGAGAATGTTTTAAAGCTTTTATTGATCGAAAGTTCGGTGAGAGCATGGCAAAAAGCTGAAAGGACAACATGAAGCTGGTTGATCTTCTGTCTTTCGGCTTTGGCAATCATTAGTATATCTGAGAAGAAAGTGACTAAGTATAGCCACAATTGCATTATGCTCGAAGAGTCTTTATTTTTGTCAAACCTTGGAGACCTATATAGTTCGAGTAATAAAATTTCATCAGCTACGCTATGAATGTCAACGGGACCAGTTGACAGCTCACGGATAATCTATAAAATTCAATATATCTTTATTTTCAGACGGAAAACTGAAGTTAAACGGCTTATATAAATAATCCCTATACTGTAAATGATAACTAAAATATCGGGAATCCCATTTGGGTGCTTTGCCCAATGAGGAAACCGAAACATACAAATTCTGAATGTCGAGTAAGGCATGTAAATATATGTATAAAATAAATATATATATCTTATATAAATATGTGTGCTTATATAAATACATATGCTGGAAATACATAAACATGCTCATCAAAATGAGGCGCAGCATACAATAAATCTTCGTCACAGTCCCCAAATTGACATTTTACAGCACAGACCAATAGAGGACAGAGTAAGTGACAATCGCGTTTTAGCCAACTGGTGTCATTGTTGTTGTTGTTGCAGTTGCTGTCGCTGATATTGTTGTCAACAATGATGGCCCAAAGCATCAGCCACATGCGTTGCGGCAACAACTCATCCATCGTTCGACGCTCACACACGCAAGTGCACATTGAGACTGTCAATCCCAGGACACTGGATATGTAGCACTGGAGCTCGTTGGCTGCTCGCCATCTTTTATTGGCAAAACTGCTCAACACTAGCAAAAAATTTAATATCTTGCAGCATGTGCGTATGTGCATCTCTTTGTATATATATATATACATATGTGTGTGTGTGTGTGTGTGTGTGTATGACAGTAATAGAGTTATCCTGCTGTCGTTGACTATAGGAACGCATCGCATTATCCTCTGTTCTGGCCGTAATAATTGAAGTCCTACAACAAACTACTGGGTGCCAGCTTAACGACCCTTTGTCACGCTCCACTGATAGTGTTTTGGGGTAATCCGTCAGCCAGTCAAGCGCCGCATGGCAGCGCGATGAGCTTTTAAAGACCTTAATGCAAAAATGCATTACTCGCAAAGCATCAACGGAAGGAACACAAATTTTCGTGGCCCATTTGCGGCAGATAATTTAAATAAATATTCAGAAAGATGTTTAAGTAAGGAAAATTATGCCATAATAATTTTATTGTTAGCAAACGAATAGCCTAGCCATTTATACAAATATTGTATGTTATGTTGTTATGTTGTTTATCATTCTGGTCGGCAGACCATGAAATTCTTCAGTTAAGTGGGAAACTTAAATCGGACTTATTGCCTTTAATTAGTATCTTGTCAAAATTTCAAATGTCGAAACTGAACAACATCAAAGCGCATCAAGTGTGAATTTTAGAGAGAGCAGTTCGGAGGGATTTTAGGGTAATTCGACATCGAGAACTCCCAGCTTGCTGGATAATGAATTAATTGCCAGTAGATAAAAATATGTTTACTCTATGCAAGAGTATCTTAAAACCCCACATCAAAGTAATCACTTTTAATTTTTTAATACACGACTATCAAATATTGCTGTCAAATCTAAAAACAAAATACAAAAAAAATGAATTCTTGTCGGGTTGTTGTGATCGGGGATCTCTTACTATTTGCTGTGGTATGGTAACATTCTACTTTCGGTGTAAGATAACTGCTATATATCTACAGATCAGTGTTGTCTCCCCTGAAGAATTTCAGATCGCATTCGTCCAGATAATGAATTCGTACCGTGCCTTACACGGCAGTGGGAAACTACTCATACACAAAAATATTTCCCAAGAAGCTCAAGAACACGCTAATGTACGTTGTTATTTTTGTATTTAACTCACTTGATAGACAAACGGTATATTTGCAGAAATTATGTCGGGGAATCTCCGAACGTTATATACCTTTTGATGTTCCTGATATGCTTTCAAATCTCACATGCCATTCAAGCAGACCTTTAGAATGTGTACATATGTGGTACGAAGAGCGAAAGTACTACAACTACGAAAATGGGCAATATGTGCCAAAGGCTGCCCATTTCACTCTGTTGATTTGGAAGAGTTCTAAGTACGTTGGTGTTGGAATTTGCTCAAAGTATGTATAAAACATAACCATCAGTATATGAAACATTTAGAGAACTCTGATTTTTAGACCAATGGAAAAATACTTTGTAGTTGCAAAACTGTATCCTCGCGGCAATGAGAAAAACAAATTTTCGGAAAATGTTTTACCCCAAAGAAAGTATGTTCGATGCAACAAAAACATTCTTTATTTAACCTTATTTTTAATCATCAGCCATTGTTCCAACCTGCCCACCAATTGTATATTTTCAGCTGTTGCAGTTATAATTCCACTATTTGCTTAAATGTACACATATATTATTTAATAAATAACTAGTAAGAATGTTCATGGATCCTTATCAAGACTATTTCTACTTCATGGTGTCTGTCACGCCGTCTTCTGCCTGTTACAAACATTTTAACAAAACCGTTTGACCTGATTTCCCATTTTAAATGGGTTCAGCATACAACAAGTAAACAAACTCTAGTCGGGGTGCCCGACTAGGAGTTACCCTGATCCCAGTCTTATCTGGTTTTTAATATTTTCCGTAGTTTGTATCGAGTATTTAAAAAAATACAAATAAAAACTGACATTACCATACCAAGACTCGAACCCCCACTCTTTACGCATCGCGCATCAGCTCTACCAACACCGCCACTTCATAATTAAAAAAAAATCAATAAAATATACCCGTCGCCTCGAGGATTGAACCGAGATAGTACGCTGACGAGCGCCGCCTCTGCCAACGCAGCCACTGCCTTCAGCCCTATTTCCAACTGAACTTATATTCTAAGAATTTGGGGAATTTAGAGCCGGTATCCAAAATCCAACAAAAAATATACATAAAACTAAATACAAAGGTTGGAGACTCTAGCTCTTAAGACGTCCGAGATATAATTTATTCGATAACAATTATTCGATAACAGTTAAATGCGAATAGTTATCGAATATTCGAAACAAATTCGACCTACAAAAAAAATTTCAAGTCTAGCTCTTATAGATGCCTAGATCCACGCGTTCACACGTACGGACAGACGAACAGACAGACAGACGGACAGGGCTCAATCGACTCGGCTTGTCGTCCTGATCAAGAATATATATACTTTATGTCTGCCACGCCTCCTTCTGCCTGTTACATACATTTGCACAAAACCATTACACCCTGATTTCCCATTTTCAATGGGTTCAGGGTATAAAAATAAATGAGAAAACGAAAACGAGCGAGGGTATAGCCCGAGAGAGCCTTCAACTCGGCTGTAGCTGATTGCACATTAGTTTCTTCTGAATTGAAGACATTTCCCTAGCTTGAGGACTCTATCTTCTGTGGTCGTCCTGTCGTTAATGTCTGTGGTCAATGTACAGTGAAACAATTGATGAAATTTATACTTGTCACGATGTGTGTCCAAGGTACCAGTAGAAGCTCGATTTCTACAATATAATTTGAATACCATAAATGTTGAAGACTTCAGATTTACTGTGTAGATTGCTGTAAGATATACCAAAATTTTGTATATTTGGAATTTTGTCACATACTAGAGACTTGTGCCAGCTCAGCCGCTGCATTAACTATGCAGCATAGTGCTTGCTCATGTGTGTGTGTGTGTGTGCATGTTATTTTATTTTGTTATGTATAAAGGAGTCGCAGAATGATTGAAATAGCAGCGCTTCGCAGTGCTCAGGTTCTGGGTATCTCCTAGTTGAGCCGTCTCGACTCGACTCTCGTTCACTTTGGCCCTCGGAAAGATCTCACATGTAGGTATCGTATCTAAATGTGCTGCTAATGATGATAGCTAGCAAAGTGCAAAGGGTGCGAAGGATGCAAAGGGGTGCACAACGGGGGCTGTTGGGACAGAGCAAATTTAAATAAGCTTGCCACACAACCCTGTGGGGCTGATGCTTTGGGTTAATTTGAAAACGTGCGATAAGAAAATTCAATTTTTTTCCTTTACCTGCTTTTGCTGTTGAATGTGTGCTGTCAATGTATTGTAATGAATGCGTGTGCGTGTGTGTGGGTATGTGTGTGCTTATTTACAAGTAGTTCTCTTGTGCTGGCTTTAATATGCCTTTCCTTACTTTTTGGCAATCAGCGTCAGGCAAACAGCAAATTCCCCATTGGGCGCAGAGCCTTAACCTTTCAATGTTGTTTGTTTGTTTGTTGTCACTGCTGTTGTTGTAATTTTGCATTTCCCCAAAACAAGTGATATTTACTGCAAAGACAGGGAAGTTAGAGAACAAAAAAAGAATATTACGAAAGTCTGGGCTGTTCTGGATGAGCTTGTCGCTTGAGACCTGGAGGCAGCTGCTGGCAACAGCACATTAAGTCCTTAAGCACACATTATTATTCAATCAGATATGAAGTTTTATTTATTTTTTGCCTTTTTCGCCTCGGGCAGACTGTTTTTTGTTTACCATTTGCATTTGCTGCTGCAAGCATATACATACATCTCTATATATTTATGTTTGTATGTATAAGGGAGTGATATGTGAATCGGGTTAGTCGTTTGTGCCTAATGGCATTCAAATTGCTTAAGCTTAAGGCGAAATGTAATTTGGGATTAAAGCAAAGGTCTATCACAGCAGTAACAATACCTTGGAGGAATCTATTTAAATTCGAACTGCTTCCGATGGACCTCATAACACAAGTATCCATTAAATATATACAATAATATAAGATTAGCTGCCTGTTATCCGCTACTATAAAATATTCGTATATTCGTATATTCGTATGACTGCTGAACAGCATGGTTGATCATATTGATCAAGTCCAACTAACTTGTCTACCAAATTCACTTCGTTGTCCGCATTCAATAGATCTCCATCTCCATCGCTATTCCCGCTGTCAGCTACATGCTGATCAGATTTAGCAGTGTCAGCATCGTTGGTTCATCTAGACTGGTGGAACACAGTTGTGCTCCAGTTCGTCAACTATTTATAAGTTCAGTCTGGCCATAAAATTTATGTGCATCGTAAAGACGACGAATCGAGGCGAAGCGCTGACAAAATGTTATGAAATCTAATTTGCACACAAAGCGTCCCAAATGACGCGACTGGCGGCAAAAACAGCGACCAAGCAAAACACCAACTGGAGCGTCTTCTCCAATAGCTGCCAAGCACCAACGTTACCCATGGTCCTAAGGTCTGTCTGTGGCCTGTGAAAATTGTTTAATTACATGCGCTTCCAATTACGAGCTTCGTTGGCACTGCTCGGTGCTTATATTGTAACGGCTTTGACCTAATTGACTAATAATTAAAATTAAGTACATGCTAAATTATTATTAATTATTCAAATGGACAACGAGAAAGACATCGATAGGGAGAGAGATAGAAGTTTAATCACAGCCAAATGCATTTTGAAGTCAATTTGCTGCAAGTGCCGCCAATTGCCAAGAGTTATGCAGCATTTAACTGGGAGTTCATCGCGACATAAACAAACTGTTGAACAATTGGAAAACAGAAAAAATATTTGAACAGATTCCTTCAATAGTTTATTTCATTTATTTATGACTTATAAATACTTAAGTTATTCCAGTGTAATGCGGCTGTGAACGATGCTTAAATATTTCATAAAATGGCACACGCATATAAATACACATACACAAGCATGACTAGATGGACAGTGATGCACGTCAGTAGATATACAAACATATTTCACAATAAATTATTGTCAGTTGTAGTGCATAAAATGTCGCATAAAGTTGGCAGTTGCCATAAAAAAAAACACAAGCGCGTTATTCATCGTTAAAGCAACTGCACAAGCGCGGGATAAGGCAGCATTGCAGACATTGCATCAACAACAATAGCAGGAGAAGAAGCAGCAGCAATAGCAATGACTACGAGAGACGTGACTGCGTGTAGATGAATGCATGGGGCGTATGCGCAGTACGATATCCAACAAATTGCTAAACAAATCAAATTTATTGCTAGAGTTGCGCACGCGAACGAGCAGCAGCAGCTGCAACAGCAACAGCAACAACAATGAATATCTACATTCATATGTATTAAAGCAACAACAACAATAAAACGCATGTAAAACGTCACTGAGATAGCACAAATTAATATAAGCCGACGTTTTTTCGAGCCTCAGGACTAGCTGCGTTGCTTATTTGTTGTTGTTGCTGCTGCCGCTATCAGAGTTTGTATAACTTCATTTGGTTTGTTTGTTTGCCGGCACTGTTGTGGGCCCTGGGCCCACTTACTTTTTGTTAAACTGTATTCGTACACACGCACAGGCAAACACACTGTGAGAGACAGAGACAACGTTGTGGCCCAGCAACGTCCGCACAGTCTGCATAACAACATGGCGCTCGGTCAGAGCGGAAGTCCGAGTTGTTCGGCGTTAAATTTATGCCCAACTGCGATTCTCTGGCAATGCCACCCGAGCGCTACAATGGGTTTTACGCTCTTATTTTGAATAAAAAATATTATAAGCAATATAAAATTAAGTCCACAAATATTTTCACCTTTGAGCTGCCCACTATAAATTAACAGAAAATTTGCTATAAACACAATGTGATCGAGTCAGATTCAACAACGCCAAACTGAGTAAAATTGTGATCTGGCAACGCTGCACGCCATGGAGGGCAAAAGCCTTAACGTCTCTGTTAAATGACTCTGTATATCTTCTGTAAGTTACCAGAGGCAAGCTAAGTTGTTTTACTGAAGTGGCTGAATGACAAAATGGCTGCCACGTACACACATGTACGTTCACTAACGTTAAGGCTGCAGACAGACGTTTTGATTGGAAGTTTTCAGTCTTATGAGCAATTGCACGTGCCTCGATTGTTGCCCATTGTTCACACTTAATTGTTGTTGCTGTTGTTGTTATTGTAGCTGCTGGTGTTGCGACTGTTGCGGCAGTTGTTGATTTTTATTTTCGCAATTAGGAAGTTGTTTTTTATTATTATTTTCTTTTTTTTACAGTCAAACAAACTAAACACGCATACACAGCAAACAAGCAGCTATGGCAATAGTTACGCCCCACGGCCACTCCCCCTCGCAGTCACATGACCACGCAGACACTTATTCATCAGCCGGAAGTTTGCTTGCCACTCCCATTGTTGTTGTTGTTGTTGTTGGTGTTGTTGCTGCTGCTGCTGCCGTCAAGCAGGACTTGTTAGTTGTTCGTGGGTGTTTGCCGCTCATGCAAATTGCACGAGTAAGAAAATAAAATAAAGAAAAAAAACTAGAAAAAGAGGAAAATATAAGCAGCGGGGCAAGTGCGGAATAGCGTGAAAAGTTGCACAAACTCTATATATTTTTTGAATTTATATTTAACTGTATTACATGGCGCACCCGCAACAGTAACTCTCGCTACATTCCTTCCATTGGCCCCT